CGTCTCTACTGTTACAGTTGGTTGTATTATACCTACCCTTCTTTACTGCCCCTTCTTTACTAGGTTACTTAAGAAATACTTTGTTTTACTGCAAAAGGCAATAAAGGCGGTTAATAGGGAGAGTGGGATGTTGCTAACCCAACTTGTTAATACTCTTGTAGATAGGCATGTGGACTCCTGCAGGAAATTAGCAAGTATTACCTTGTCAGACTCTGAGCATCCTCGCTATACACAACTGTCTCCCTGCATCTCATCAGGTGGAACTGCAAGCAACTCTAGAAGACTGTGTGCTCGGACGACTAAGTACAAAAATTCCACAATACCTTATTTAGCACACGTCTTATGTGACGAGAAAAGTGTAAGGCAGGAAATTATCAACTTACTGTGGAACTCTAAGCAAACAGCCCCATTTTTTTCATGGTTGTTAATATTTTTTACTTGATATTTACATATATTCATTTTCTTACTGAACAATATTATTAAGGTAAATGCCGTGTTTTTTTAATTATTACCTCTGTAATGAGAAAGTTAGATGCAATACTGTGCATGCCGAGAATTCCATACTTGTACCCAAAGTATTGTCTGGAATAAAGCTATTATTATTATTATTACATTAACCGTTTTAATACTATTATACACGTATCAATAACGCATCTGTCATAAATCACAAGTAAACTTCAATAAACAAAATGATAAATTTGAATATTATCTGAAAATAACACGAAAAATAACAAAGTATGAATGTAAAAGATGGGTCATGTGAAAGCGATACATCACTAAGGCAAAATCTGGAGAAATACAAGCCCTTCTAGAAAGCAAAAAATATTCTTAAAGATGGCTGCTGCCTATAAAAAGTGAAACAATTCACTAGTATTCTATCTGTTAACCTAATGGCAAGCTGTGTATGTTTCAGCCTACTGCATAATGAGTAACGAGTATATGTCTGTTAGATACATTGTGTCAACCCTTTTTTGACTGTTTTCCTGATATGCCTTTATAAATCTCTCTGTTTCGGTTCCGTTCATTCTCTTGACGAACTTGTAATTACCATTAGTTAGGATTAAGACTGATCACTATTTTGATCTGCATCATATGATCGAATTTATTTGATACACTGATTACAAGTACCATTAAGCAAACATCTCTAAATTATTTGTCAGCCTGCACAACCCATAACAATCTGCTAGGTTCATGATCCATTACGTATGTCGTGAACATCATCTGCAAACCACCTGTAGTCTAGCTAACAGATCTTTTTTTATTCGTTTACGTTCCTAATGGAACATAGGGCTCCAAGCTAGAGGCTTGAAGTTTCTGTAACAGTGGTGTTTATTTTTACAGAACCGTATTGCTAGCTTCAGGCCCAACCTTCTCTCTTTACCAGTCTTATTACTGGCTTAGCGAGGTAAAGGAGTGCGTTGGTGGCCAGGGATCGAACCCCGAACCACCTGCGTGGTCGGCAAGCACTCTATCGCTGTGCCACCGACGCACAGCTAACAGATATATTACTTAGATATATTAATCACAGTTGACCTGAAGTCAAGCAATAATAGCAACTATTTGGTCAACTGGCACCTTCTCATCTCTGCCCATCCGCAGTGTATCAGCTACACACCAGTGTATGTTTTCCCAATAGCTTAGATTCGATCGCATATGGGATTGATTTCATATACACTAGGGTAGCAGGCAGATTATTACAAGTATTGGAGAGTAGTAGTTGAGATTTTACTTAAAGAGGTTTCAGTGAGCTGACATGATTTTTAGTACATGAAGGCTTAACTTCTATTGTTTCTACTGCTAAAATAAACCGGATCCCTTTACTTTTGATTCTCATAATCTGTAACTATAACCTATACATAGATTCTGAGTATACAAAGTGCGTCTGAAAGTTATAGATAATGATAAATGGAACGAAATCCCTACATTCCACAGCATTTGTTACCTACCCTTATAAAGCGTATTTGTTTAATTCTTAAAACTTTCTATAAAATGTGTGATTTTTGAAAGAGTAATACAAATCTGGGTCAAGGTAGGACTATAACCAGAGACCTCTGAATTACCAGCTGGGCACTACAATATACAACTGCTAAGCAGGCCATCATTTCAATAAATTAAAGTTTTCAGCGTAGCAGAAAACCAATCGCTCATGAAGAAATCCTGTAACCAACGAAACCCCTGCAAACCAACACATGAATACCAAACTGGTGCCCTTTAACAACTCGTCCTATTCAGAGAGGTAGTTACCTGGGTTCTAGTGAGAAGTTTTCACCAGTGGGATACAGCAGGTTGGGCATGAGGACAAATACTCGCCTCTTACGACATTGGCTAGTGGTCGCGCTGTGTCGTAAACTGACAGAAGTTGGAATTCATGGGCTGGCCACTGAATTGGGCCCTAGTGGCCTAATGGTCTACAAGCTAGCTCGCCTTGTAACCAGAACGTCCTGTGTTTGAACCTCGGTGGTGGATGCGTACTGATGAGGAGTCCCAAACTAGGCCGACGAAACAGCTATCCAGTACTCTCAGGTTTTCTAATGGTTCTGTAACTCATGTCAGCTCACAATGAGATCCTGCAGCAAAATGGAAGTCTTGTGACTTGAATCTGAGACGGTAGATTAAACTCCCAGGTGTCAGATTACTTAATATCTAGATTATGTGCTCTTTTATGTAGGGATCTGGATTGACTTCAGTCTAGATTTTATCGCAAACAGACGTCACTTAGAGATCATTGACAACCATGGAGCACTGGATATCTGCTTCACGCTAGTTCGGTGCACACCCAAAAATTTAGAATTCACGGATTAATTCCATATTAGTTTGTTTATTAGATGTATCACACAGTGAAACAGTATTATTCTAACTGGATGACGTTTTGAACAAAATTTATTGTTCATAATTATTTCATCAAGTATAATCACACGACTTCGAAACTTGATTTTTATGGCTTCCTTTGTTCTCTCCTATTTGTTGTCGTTGGGATAGTAGAATTTTCCAGACATCTGGGACAGGTGTTGAATCATCCCTACTTCACGTGTTCTCTCTCAGTCAATTCGATAAACAAAGCTTCTGTTATCAATCTCTCCCTCCACCCTGTGACATTAGATTTTAAAACTGTCATCCTATCCCATCCTATTATATGGTTGTGTGTAATTGCATGAAGTGAGTGCTATAGCTGAACTATTCTCTAGATTTCTTATCTTATTCGGGTCAACCAATCTAGATTTTGCTAGGTTTTTATGTTATGCCAGTCTGACTGCCCCTGTTCTACCAGTTTGACCTATGTATTATTATTATTGTATCCTTTAATTCCTACAGGAGCATAGGGCTTCAGCCGTGCGTCTCCATTGCGTGCGGTTCTCTGCTAGAGTCTTCACCTGGCTCCAAGTTTGCCCACACGTTTTCATCTCCTCTTCACATGACCTCCTCCAAGTCACCCTCGCACTGACGACCAACTCGTCGCTTCCCTTTCGGGTTCCACTCGAACAATGGCTTGTCTAGTGATGTCACTTGATGGCTTGTTTTCTCAGAGTATGGCCAATCCAATCCATCTCCATTTCTTCCTGCCTATTTGTTTCACAATCGGTTCCTGCTGGGTTGGTTCGCTCCCAGAGATCTCTGTTGCTGATCTTTTCTGGCCGGCCATCTGATCTTGAGTATTGAGCGAAGACAACTAGCTGTTAATGAAGGTCTCTAGTTTGTTGGAGATGCTCTTTACGACGCACTGGCCAAGTCTCTGATCCGTATGTTGAGTACCACTGACTTCACATTGGAGTTGAAAATCCGGATCTTATTTTTGATGCTGAACAGTGCTGTTGACCTCCACACAGACTTGAGAGTAGTGAAAGCTTGTCTTGCTTTCCCGATTCTTGCTTTGATATCCTCGTCACTTCCGTTCGCCTGTAGTTGAAACGATGCTTCCTATGTATTTGACCTGAAAATCATCCCAGCAGGGTATTAGATAAACTAAATTGTTTTGTTTTAAAGGCTACACAGGATCCTTTAACCGACACAGCTTGTTTCTAATTGAGTTTGTGGTTGGTTTGGATGCCAGCCACTTTTATTCCTGTCAGCATTGTTAAGAATTCTGCGTAAGTTTTCCGAGGTTCCTTCCTTGTATGGAATTACTACTGATGATTTAGATTCCTTATTGTTGGTGTTGTCTTGCGCATATTTGAAATGCATATCATCATTAATAGTACTACTATTATTATGATTATCACTATTATCATTATTTATTTTATTTTTACCTTTCCTTACAAACTTCCTCACTAATTTATCAGGCTAATTATTAAGTTTCAAGGCTTCTCTTATATGTATCACTTCCTGTCTTAGATTTTCCTTGGTACTACTTAGTTTTTGTGCTCTGTCACTTAAACATTTCACCAATCCTATTTTTACTGACATAGGATGGGATGAACGGAAGTCCAAATATCTGTTTGAGTGTTTGGGTTTCCTGTAAACACTAGTGTGCTTAACTTCTCATTATCTTTCCTTTTTACGCTGCAATCTAACATTGGAAGCTCCCCTTCCTGACTTTCCAATTCATAAGTGAATTGAATTGCCTCCACCTTCGAGTTGATGTGTTCGAAAAATCTATCTATATCCTGTGTTTTAAGTACAGTGAATGTGTCATCTACATACCTCCACCATACTTTTGGGGTGGGGGTGAACGGATTAATGAATTTCAGCCCAAGTGGCTGAATGCTCAACGAACTTGGTCTCGTAATCTGAATGTCCTGGGTCCGATCTATGGTCGGGTCGTGTGTACACATTGCTGGAGAGTCCCAGATCAGGACGAAACGGCTATCCAGTACTCTATTATTTACAAAGACTTCTAAGTGATTTCGTTTTATGACGAAATCCACATTAAAATACTTAGTTCCCATTATAATTTTCATCGATATAACAGTATATTTTCAAATAATGCACCTCTTATTCATGATTTGATTTTATTCCCACTGTAACAGAATAATATCTCTGTACACATAAATCTTTTGTTTTAGCATTGAACAATGGAGAACAGCATTTCGTGAAATGGATCGTGATGAATCAGGACAGTTATCCTTAGACGAAATCAGACAAGTACTACACGAACTTGGATATCATCGGTTGGGGGAAGAGGAATTACTCAACTGGATGAATAAAGTTGACAAAAATAATGATCAGTTAATTGATTTCGGTGAATTTTGTGCATTATTACATGAAAACTGGCAAAATAAAGGATAAACTATTTATTTTAAGAGTGTTAACCGCTTTTCATTTCTTTAGATCTTTAACACACACGCACATAATACATACATACATACGTTCATACATACATAGAAAGTTATGTTCACTGGCGGGTAGAAGTACACTAACGGTATTGTATACTGTAGCGCATAAGAAGAAGAAGAAAATACATTGAAAGCTTATTTTTCAACATATCAGTTGACAACTGACAAATTCTCATCTGGTACTGATCATGTATTTATTACAAGTTGCCCCCCGCTCAAAATAAAATAAAATCTTTAAACTGAATATGTTTTCTCTGTACAATTCCCCTAAACCTTGCTTAACAGACTAAGAAGAAACAGAGAAATAATAACAATAAATATTTTTCCTTCCTTCACGTTCCCCAGTGGAACATAGGGCTTCAAGCTAGTGGCTTGAAGTTTCTGTAGCAGTGTTTATTTTACAGGATGGGGTTGCTAGCCTCATGCCCAACCTTTCCTCTTTACCAGCATTATTTCTGGCTTAGCGAGGTAAAGGAATGCGTCGGCCGGGGATCGAACCCCGGACCATGTGCGTAGTCGGCTAGCGTCCTAACCGCTATACCACCGACGCACCAACAATAATTTTTGCTTTATTCCAAAAACAGCACTATTGATACAGCAAGGAATTTTCAGCATTCAGTACAATATTGCATCTAATTTACTCAAAACGACAAAAAATAAATAAATAAAAACATTACATAATAATAATAACAAAACGTTGTTATAACAGCTATGTAGCGAATTACAGTATGTGATAAGGAGAAAAATATGTATAAAGTATAAAATTATAGTAATAATAGTAATAACAACTGAAATAAAATAGCGAAGTTATAATTAAACGATAGAAAGGGTGACACTATAAAATTACAGAAAGATGAACGATGAAAGGGTCGATTCACTTTGCTAATTACATAGTAACTTATATGTTTCACGTCTAACAGTGTCTTCATCACATAAAATACGGGCTAAATAGGGTATTGTAGAATTTTTGTACTTACTGTTGGTGCGAGCATATAACTTTTTATATTGACTTCTCGTCCTACCTGATGAGATACAAGGGGATAGTTGTGAATAAAGAGGGTGCAGAGGGTCTGACAGTACGGCCTTTGCCCATTTTGTACAGGAATTTATGTGTCTCTCGACTATAGTATTGGCGAGCTCACGCACTGGCATACCACAAGCCCTACTCACAGCATTTAATACCCTTCGTAATATGATATAGTCTTTTTTCAGATGCCAAGGAAAAATTAATGGAGAGCAATAGAGTACAATAGATAAAATACAGGAGTTTACAAACTGCAGAAGTAAAGGTTGGTTGATACCTGATTGTCTTAACTTTTTAATGTGCTGCTTTGTTTCTTTCTTCCGCTTACGCCAGTAAATATGATAGCACCTACTTTTCTAACACCTTCAAACATTGTTCAATTTTGGCTTTGCTACCTACCGACATGCCAATATGTTGTTGTCATACTGAACTGAGATTTCCTTAATCTATGTAGAATTTTATTTATTGATAATGTACTAATTGGATGCAATACTGTAGTAAAAATGCTGAGAATTCCATTCTGTATCACAAGTACTGTTTTGGAATAAAGCAAATTATTATTATCATTAAGACGAAACATTTTCTTAGAATGATAAGATGTGGGATGACCATGAAAGGTCAGAGGAAAGAACTAATCCAAGGTATTTAATGCTTGACTTGGTTTCAATTTCAGTGCCATCTATGCTAAAGGCATCATGGGAACTAACTAGTTCAAGTATGTCACGTCGATGCTTGAAAGTAAAGTTAACTGCCTGACATTTGGAAGGATTTAACATAAGACCATTTGACTTAGACCACTTACTGATGTCCAACAGAAAGCTATTAAGTTTGGAGCAGTCAGACTCGGAAGTGATAGGCAGTGATACAGTTAGATCATCCGCATTGTGTTATGGAATTTAATCAACGGTTGAAGGTTAATGGGTCTTTTTCCAATAGCTGAGTAAAAGGATTTAATTACAGTGATGCAGCTTGCCGAAATGTAAATGCACACTGGGTTTATCCATGGATCCGCACTTCCCACAGTTTTACTCAGATGACGATCGGCCTTTCCTAATCAGCACGAAATTCAAAAAGACAGCGAAAGAGGGAGAGAGAGAGAAAGTAAGATTATTTCACCTACAGAACACCTAGGTCATGCGAACGATAAACCCAGATAGACAATATAAAGATGTAATTTATCTGAAACGTGTAATTTACTAACGCAACATAACACGAAACCTAGGTCTAAGGCTTCTGCCGATTGCCTCCAACCATCTAACATCAACAATTCAAAGTGCACCGTGATGGCGAGCTACCTAGAATGGTGGCCACATTGCATACCTGACTGGCGGAATTCAGTCTGCACCAAACAAAGGATTAGACACATCATATTTCGAACATTCTAACAGTACATATACTTGTCATATATATATATATATCTGTGTGAACTTAATTGCTTAACTTCAAGTGTAGATTTAAGATTACTGCTAAATCAAAAGAAGTAAGCCATTCAAATAAGCAAGGTGTATAGCTGATTGAAATGTGACCACATAAATGACAGTTATCTGGATGGAAAGAAATTATTATTGTTCCCTTAGGTTTCCAGTGGAATATAGGGTTCAAAAGAACATCCCCATTTCACCCTGGTTTTTGGTGTCTTTTTTACCTGGCTCCGCGATCACCCATAAGCGGTCGTGTCTTCCTCACACAACGTCAGACCAACACCCAGCTCGACTTCTTCCGTTCGCTTTCTACTCGGGTGCCTTAGAGGCACGTGCTGTCACTCAACAGTCTCCTCAGAGTTGTATCCAACTCCATTTTCTTCGGTATATCTGTTAGGCAGTATGTTGTCAGTTGGTTTGTTATCAGAGGTCCTTGTTGTCATTCCTTTCCGACCACTTAATCTTCAGTATGGAGTGAAGGTAGCTTCTGATAAAAGTCTAAAGTAGCCTGTTCGAAATGCTGTTTGCTACGCGCACGCCAAGTCTGTGAATCATATATAATTCATGTATAATCCCCATCCAGGCATTAATGAAAACAAAACACGTAGATCAGCGAAGAGTCTCTTTTCGCCGGCGAATTCATTTTCTTAGCTGTACAATCGCAAATATATATATGGGTTATTTTGCATGTATGTGTACATTAAGTTTGTCAAACAAAAATACAATTGGTTATGGTTATTTTAACTAAACAGGTGAAGATTGGTAATTGGAGTTACGTAATACAAAATCAGTCAAGAAAATTAGGTGTTAATGAAATTAGGGTAGTAACAAAGGTGATGAGTTGTCACAAACAGTTGTTAAAACAAGTTATGTAATAATATGAATAGTTTGATGAGTGAGTTTTACTCAGGATGCACATAGGAACAAAGTAGATAATACGAAATTACGTAAGAGTTCTAAATGAATACAAGAATTATAAGCAATTAAAGAACAGGCAAAGAAACAAAATTAAGTCATCAAAATCAAAAAAATCAAATCAAATCAAAAAAGTTGTTACCAAGACAGTAAAAGTGGTTGAGTAATCCTCTTTTGTATGCACAGCTCCGGTTTTTCTATGTGAATGGCCAGAGCTTCAGCGATACAAAGAAGGCGAAACCGTATTGCCTTTGATAGGTTGTTCTTGACTCTGTAGATTACTTTGAAGGAGGCGTTTGTTGAAATGGAATGATCAGTGTTAACCAGGTGTTCAATTATCGCACTCCTTATTGCACCACTATTGCCTTTTCGCAACCATGCTGGATAGTGTTCTTGAATCCTCTTGGACAGAGTGCGCGTCGAACGACCGATGTACCTGGCTCCACAGCAGCAGGTGAACTGATATATGCACATAGAAGTGGTCAGATGCGGGATCTTGTCCTTGAGGCTTCTGCAGATCAGTGGGCAACTGGAGAACACTATTCTTAGCGTTGCTGCAAAGAATGTTCTTCTCAGAGATGATGTGATCCTTCTCTTGAGAATATCGCTTGCTAAATCTCCCTTGAAATCCAAGTTCATGTAGAGTTTCTTTTTAGGCGCAATTAAAGTTTCGTTTCTCCGAATTCTTGGTTTGATATTTTTGTCGATGAATCTTATTGGGTATCCATTTTGGATGAAAATTTCTCTTAGAATATCTAATTCTGTTTCCAGAACGTCGGGACTGCAGATGCGGGTGGCAAGTGATTTAATTAAATTTCGCTTTTGTTGAATGGGTACCCAGATATAGATACTTGTTAGTTGGCCATTCCAAGTAGGTTTTTTATGGATCAATCTTCTTAGGCTCCCATCAGTTCTTCTTGTTAGTTCCACATCAAGAAACGGAATTTTTGACTCGTTTTCCATTTCAAGAGTGAATTTTATTGCTGGATGGCAATAGTTAAATGTCTTCAGCAGTAGATTGGGGTCATTGTTGTTGTCACAAATGTACAAGCACTGATTAACTCCACATTAGTCTTGAAATTCCGAATCGTATTCTAGGTGATGAGTGCAGCATATTTCCACACTGATTTCACGATTCAGATCCTGACTTTAACATCAAGGTATGACATAGTCTCACCTTTCATACTGGTGTTATGAAGAAACTTCTTTGCTTCAATATCATTTGGAGTTTCAGCTTACAGAAACCTCTTGTTATAAACCGCAGCAGTTCTGTTAACCAATTGGAAAGCTTACGGATTGGAAATCTACACATGGACATTATGCAGAGTCGACGAAAACTGGGTTTGTTGGCTCGCCAAAGACTATGAATGTATGATGATTGGATTTATGTGTGGTTCAATGGATTGGTTAGTTTCCTAATGAATAGATTCCGAAAGAAAGGTTTCCACTAGAATGGGGGTTACTTTATTATTATTATCATTGTTCCCTTGGGTCCCTAGTGGAACATAGGGCTTCAACTGCACGTCTCCACTTGTTTCTGTCTTCTCCTCTACTTTTCACCTCCATCCATATACGTCCATACTGTTTCAACTCTTCCTCACACGATCTCCTCCATGTCACCCTGAGACGTCCTACTCGCCGCTTCTATTTCGGGTTCCACTCGAGTGATGGCCTGACGCGCGATGTCACCCAGCAGCCTCCTCAGCGAGTGTCCAATCCGTCTCCACTTTCTCCTGCATATTTGTTGAGCGATTGGTTCTTGTTTTGTTTGTTTGTTCCCATAGTTTCTTGTTGGTTCTTGTTCTTCCCGGCCATCTGATCTTCAGTATAGAACGAAGACAGTTGTTGTTGATAAAGGTCTGCAACAGGCTGTTGGAAAT